TCATACAAAATGATTTGACGTCACAAATGGTTAAAAGGGATGTTTTGAATGTGGAGACAATCGATGATGTATTGCAGGATCGATATCAAGCTTTTGCAAATTATGACACTTATGAGCTTTTAAAATCATTGCAACATGATATAAATATTGAGCCTACATATAAAGCAAAATTTATAAAAATGTTTAATAAATTGCATCAATTTGATATGCCTTCATTTTTAAGCTTAATGGAACAGCTCACTAGTGATGACAAGTTTTACAATATTTTAACCCAATTTGTTTACTTATCAGAAAATTTGTATAATGAGCCAATAAAAGCATTATATTCACGATTATTAGCCTATCATATGAGCGAAGTGGGCGATCTTCCCTACCATATTACCAAACTATGCTATAGTAATCGATTTGAGTTTGGTGATGTAGCCACTAAAATGTACAATTATTATGTTTTTTAATTTTAATATAAAATTTTATTATTTAAATTTTATTATTTAAATTTTATTATTTAAATTTTATTATTAAATTTTAAATTTTTTAATAGAATACAGCGCTTATTCGAGACGTCAATCTTTGAACACTGGAAACAACTGACTTCTGAATCTAGTTTTCATTTGTTCTCAAACATCGTCGACAACAGTCATGTTTTTGGTGACCGACATCTCTCTGATTACTACTTTCAACCAATCGGACCGTACAAACCCTTACATAATGATATATTTGTATCAAGTTATGTGTTCATTGCTTATGGTTTTCTCATTTCATTTATTATATTAATTTTTGAATTAATTATCAAGGCGTATTTTAAATCAGATTAATATGTCTAAAATTAATTTAATCTATATTTAATATAAGGCCCACTAGGGTACAATTAGAATTATATAAAGTTTGTGATAATCAATATATTTAATATCACAATTTAATGCATTATTTAATTGTCTTAAAACTTTTAACACTAAATAATAACACGTTCAAATGTGTAGTTTTAACAAAAATTTTCAAATACAATAAGAAATCAATAATTGTCAATAATTAGTAAAAAATTTCAATTTTAAATATCTCAAAGATTATACAAGCAAATACAGTATAACTACTCTATAAAAATGTTTCAACATTGTTACAAAACGTGGTATTATTTGGTTGGCGCGAAGCCAACCCTATTATTACCGAAATCAAACTCAGTATAATAGGGACCGATAAACACGTCGCCCAAAATCCAGAGGGGGTCGCCTCCCGGCGAGAAACCCGACATACACTGCGGGTTCCCGTTTTGATCGCTCTGAACCAACACATACTGACCGCCGGTCAACGGGAATGCCTTTCCGCCCAAAATGAACGTCACGGTAGGCAACGATTTAACGCTACCGCAGTCTACCATATAATCGCCGGAACCGTCATCTGCGGCGCCGATGGCCTGATTAATGGCCGCGATATCGTTGTCCGGACCCACGATCAGCGATGTGCCGGTATCTGCAATGGCCTGACAGCTGCCCGAACAAAACCCGGTACCGTCGGATACCTGGCCACCGTCCATGGTGAATTGCCAGTAGCCCTGTTGGGTCACCGGTAGGTACGTAAAGGGGGCGGTATAGTGGTTGGGGTCTGAACCGCCAAATATAATCTCTCCGCCGAGCGATTGACTGTCGTCTCGGTTCAGGTAGAAGGAGAAGACCGGCGCCGACACCACTCCCTGTGCTATCATGTTTTGAAACACAGGCTCCACGTTATCTGTGGATATCTGTGGGTAACCCATGCCTAGTATGCCGTCAAACTCGGCGTAAACAAACGTGGTACCGGGTTCGCTGGTTGTCTC